AAAGCATACAGTTGCACCTTGAAATACATTACGGCAAATTCGTGGATATTTCTGATTCACCCATGCGGGTATTTCTCGACGCACCCATTCCTGATACTAATATCTTCAAAAAATTATATGACCAGCTAGAGTACATTTAGCAAAAGTGTTGTTGGAACATGAATCATCGAGTGCATTAGCTCTATCCCTGGAAAATACGTGGTGCAATACAATGCAGCATATATGTCGTTTTTGGAGGCTTGGTACAGTACAGAACCTTTTACGGGAAAATTACGATGCAGAATTGTACCAAAAAAAAGATGGTAACGTGCGACTACCAATTTCCACCAATTGGATGTCCTATGCTGATAAAAGATTCGACGCTTGATAGTGTAGGAAGGGAAGGTATTTTGGATTTAATGAAGCAACCAGACTTTACCCAGCTGCCGTCGGTTTCAGTGATCCCCTTGTACAGCTACGGTTTTGGCCATTTCGCATTGACGTTTGACGGCTCAATTCGTTCAGTGACTTCGACTTCCTTATTTCGTCGTCTTTGTTGGGCAGCTTTCGATCAGTATGAACAAGCATTGTACTCGATCGAGCCATCTGCACTCGATGTGAATAGCGATTACCCATTGTAATAAGTAGTAATTGCTCGATCAAAGCATCAATGAGAATAGAGTATCAATGAGATCGTTGCAAAATCAACCAATTCGAAATGAATCGAGCGGTTTCGCATTAAAACATTCGAAATCTAGCAATCTAGAATGAATATGTTGCACACACACAGATAATACAGTTTTGTTACAGTTGAGGTTGATTCGAAATGAATTAATGTATTTCAGTTAACACGCATTGAATANCACAGATAATACAGTTTTGTTACAGTTGAGGTTGATTCGAAATGAATTAATGTATTTCAGTTAACACGCATTGAATATAATTCACACAATCATTCATCATTGGTTGAATCAGTAGTGACATCCGCCGAAATAATTCATTCGAAGCACCATTGACTGTCGCTGTTATTTGCACCGTTCTGTAATTCACACTCACAGTTAGTAAGAGAGATAAAGTCGACGTAAATGACATTGTTTTTTAGACATATTACCTAAAGATGAGATCGCTGCTCTTTCAGTCGGAAGTCATGAAAATAATTCATTTAATCAACAAGAAAATTTTTTCAGTACCCCGCAAAATTCATTAAGGATTGATCCGTAAAAGTTTAACGGGTTGACCATCAATTCAAAAAGGATTCGGTGAGGTAAACGGTATCGGAATGCACGACAACGATTCGGACGAATTGAAGAAGCACTGCAGTGCATATGGAGTGAACAAAAAAACGATTGCTCAGAGAACAGCTACACGGATTTCGAAAAATCAAAACGTATCGCCCAAAAACTCCACTCTGTA